AATAAACGAATCTGCCAAAATACATGCATAGAAGCTTAGACCAATATCATTATACTGATGCTGAAAATATTCTACTAAAAATATGCTCTCCTTACAAAATTGGATATTTTACGTTGTAATTAATTCCTTAGAGAGATATTCGAAGAATTCCCAATTTTATTCAGTTTATTTTATTATGGTCATACCCTACGATTACTCATTTTTCGTTAGCTTCTGAGTTATAGACCAGGCCTCGAGGGCAATTAGTCCGACAGAACACTTCGGAAACTTCATGAGATTTCCTCCCGGAAACTGTCCAGACTCGAGACTATCTTGACGTTACTTGAAGAGTCCTGACTTCTTGTTAATTTGACCAATTACTCGAACAGCGGGTCGGTTGTTGAGTCGTTATCGAATGCTTCTGATCGATAAATCCCTATCTTACCAATGCTATATATCGACCAAGGTCATTCGACAACGATTCAACAATCGAGGAGCAGATCAGGTACACCGGAGCAACGTGTTACCAGCGCCAAACGCGCACTGGCGCCTACAAACCTAAGGGGATACTTCACGCATTGCGCAATGTTTGAAGTATCCCCTTAGGTTTGTAGGCGCCAATGCGCGTTCCGCGCTGGCCGCGCCGCAGCGTGCCACGGCACCTCAAGCAACTATTTCACAACAGAGGTGTTGCAGAGTATAATACGAAATTGAAGGCGCTCCAACATATTAAGAATGAAAGGCATCTTTTAAGAGTAGCTTTTCTCGCAAAATAAATCAATATACTGCAGGTCGAAAGAGAGCAGTAGTCCAAAAACTCACCAAGTCCTAGAATTCGTATTTAGTCGCCGAGAAGCGCCTGCCTGAGAGTAAACGCCCCTCAAAGGTAGCCAGACAAGCAAGGCAAAAGTTTCAACCTTTATGCTGCCGTGCTAAGGAAAAACACCGTACGAACCTTCGGACGTTGCCATATTTCCTTCAAGAAAAACCGAATTTACTGATAAAATTGTGAATATTTTTCCTCGATTATTTCAGTCAATTTTTTTCACGATTAATCTAAAATATCTGGAAATTTCAAGAAAAAATATGCATAACTTTCCTCAAAAATACATGTTTCATTCGGGGAAATTTGGCAACTCTCGAATGTTCATACGGTGTTTTTCATTAGCACGGCATCATAGATTATCGCACGTATGTTTTTTTCTCAAGATTCCCCGTGTAAGAGTCTGAAATACCTGAGCTCGGTAGACCGAGGCCAACTGGCCTGTTGGGTCACTAAGCGTTGATCACAGAATCGTGTTTTGATACTTTTTGATTCTTGTGGATTAGCTAAAAATGATAAGATGTGTAAAATGATAAGGATCTGAAATGATAAGATCAAACCTACACTTTTTACTAGGAATTTTAGCCGAGTTACCGAACTTTGAAAAATTCGGTTTATGACGTCATCCACCGCGGTAGTGACGTTGCTTTAATTTGAGAGTCACGTTGAGTAACCAGTGCAAATGTGTGTATCACCGATTGATGAATCCAATGTGGAAAAAACCAAGTGTGTCACTTTTGCGGTGGATGACGTCATGAATCTACTTTTTAAAAGCGCAATACCTCGGTTACTAATGAATGTATGAACAGGCCCGCCACATCCCATCTTGGGCCCTGGTACCAGTTTTGAGGTCCGGGTCAAAAGCACGGAGGGAGGGGGGCCGAGGGGCATCCCCCAAGAAATTTTAGAATTTACACGACTAATCGGACGCATTTTGAAGCTTCAATGAAGAATTTTTCCATCAATTTCTGCGGAATAATAATGGGTTTTTTTCTACTTTCAGCACAAAATACTTGCGAATCGTTGCATTCCAAACATCTGGAAAATTTATATTTTTTAGGGGGGGGGGGCATATGATACTATTTTCAGTTCTAAGAGGGCCAGGCCCCCTGGACTCCCCCTTCGTTTGTCTATGGCAAGGGAGTTGAGCCATGAGCCATTGAAGTCAAGGATGCCCAGACTGGAGACTCTTAGCATCTGACGACGGGAGAAAAGGAAACGCAGTTACTAAAAATATCCCTCTGTACTGAAAATCTTGAAAATAGATAGAAATTTTCCAAGAAGTATACTTCTTTGAAAATTTGAGAAGAATTCTCCAGTGCCCTAGCGTGTTTCTGAAAATCTATTCACCTTTTGCGAAATTTTTAGGGTAAATTTTTCACTTTTTCTTACGAAACAAGGGTTGCATGTGAATTCGTAGTGGTTTTTCACAGGTAACACGGGCCCCCTCCGGGGCCCGGGCCCCGGTACCAGGGACCCAGTATCCCCCCCTTGCGGCGAGCCTGCCTTCATGCACGCTGGGCTTGTCGATTTCTTTTGACATTTTTGCAGTGGTGAATGCATAGCTGAAGTGCGCTCCAGATAGAATTGTATATAGCAAATGTGTAATTTTTATAGGAGGATTATAAATAAACAAGTGGTTAGAAATGAAAACAAAATAATATGAACTATGCAAAACGATTATTCCGATAACGGAACTTGGCTGTTTTGAAAACGCCTTTAAATGCGGCGTGATACCGCACGCGTACCGGAGAGTTCAAATAGTTGTATCATCGCGCCTTAGAAATGCGACGGAAGATTACAATTGAAATAGCCTTCATGCACACTGGCCTTTTCGATTTCCGTTAACATTTTTGCAGTCATGAATGCGCTTTAGTGCGCTTCAGCTACAATTGTATTTACAAATGGGTGGTTTTTCTACGAGGATTAAAAATAAACAAGTGGCACGGAATATACCAAAAGAGTATGAACTATGCAAAACGATTATTCCGATAACGGAACTAAACTGTTTTGAAAACGCCTTCAAATGCGGCGTGATACCGCACGCATTCCGGAGAGTTCAAATAGTTGTATCATCGCGCCGTATGAATGTGACGGAAGATTTAAATGGAAATATCCTTCATGGTTTGAAGGTATTATTTGAACGGATCTTACTATTTTAGCTAATCTAGCATCAACACGATTCTGTGACCAGTGCAACTGACCTATAATAACGGGCATCGAATGTCAGATCGAGCTATTCTGTAAAGCAAGACTGTCAAAACTAGGGCGTGTTTACTAAGCAGTTTCAAGGCTTTAGCGGCATCTTTTGTGCTTTATTTTTTTATCGGTGAAGGTCGCCTGCAAAGCTCCCGGTATAGTGAGGAAAACTCAAGACATAATCACGGGAGAGGAGTGCGGGTCGAAGGAAGGAAAGGGCTACTTTTAATTAGGCACAAAGCGAAGCCTTAACCTGAAAACTCGCCGTCAGCTGGTGGACAAGTACCCTTTTCCTTCCTATCCTGTCCCCGTTCCAAATCAACTCTCCTTACGAGGCTCATATCGTAGCTCCGATGACAAAACGACGTAACTCTGTTTTCATTTGAGCCCAGGAAAGCATTGTATTCGCTAGGTGTAGATACGCTCTTTCGTCGGGGAAGCTACGATACAGTAGGAAAGTCTCAAGGCGTCTTGTTAGTTGGAGTTGCTGATTCATGTGTTGGTCGATGCTAGACGCTGGAGCTGCCTCCCCCCTCTCTCCTCCCATCCCCCCCTTTCCACCTTGTTTGCATTTCCCTCATCAACTTTCTAATTGGAGTGGAGCAAGGTACGCCAAGTGGGACGGGGTCTCCACAATGACTCGTCCGCGTAGATGACTTTTCGGGAAAATGAAACGCGGTTTTTCTGGTTTTAAAATTAAGATGGGTGGGATCGGGATCCAGTGTCTCCAGATATTCTTTTACGAAAGAATTCTGGGAGGGAGTGAGATTCCAATGGAGAAAAAAAACAATTTTAGAGTAATTCATTTTGGTTTTTCATTATTCCCGACGGATTTTTCAGATTTTTTGAAGTTTTACCCCTCCCCACCCTCGCATTTTTTCAAATGGAACTGAATTTTTACAATTGTTGGGATTTTTTTTTTTATCTAATTTTGGTTCTATCGTCATATTTGGCGTTAACGAGGCGTCGGAACATACCAACTGAAATCAGTGTTGTTTTTCTGGTTTTAAAATTATAAGATGAATGGAATCGGATTCCAGTGTCTCCAGAGATCCTTTCACGAGAGAATCCTGGGAGGGAGTGAGATTCCAATGGAGAGAAAAAAAAAAACAATTTTAGCGTAATTTATTTTGGTTTTTCTTTATCCTTAACGGATTTTTTAGATTTTTCAAAGTTTTACCCCTCCCCACCCTCGCATTTTTTCAAATGGAACTGAATTTGTACAATTGTTGGGATATTTTTTATCTAATTTTGGTTCTATCGTCATATTTGGCGTTAACGAAGCGTCGGAATATACCAACTGAAATCAGTGTTGTTGCAAGCTCGCCTTTGCGTCTATGAAGTAAAGACTATAAACGTTGATTAGATTTTTCCGAATGATCAAATGAGAAAATAAAAAAGCAAGGAATAAAAAATTAAATACTTCAATAGGTAAACAAGCCGTTTCAACACAAGAATTTGAGGTGTGCATGGATATTGAGGTCCGAACTAGCTATAAGAGCACTTCGATTTTGAAACGGGGCGATTGATACCTCGATTGCAAAGTTGGATAATTTCGAAGACTCCAAGATAGCATTTTAGGCCACTTTCGCAGTCTTGGATTTTAAACTTCGAAAATTTTGCCAAAAATTCAAGTTTAACGTCAAAAAATACCACTTGCACTATTTCACAGCCTCGTGAAATTTCTTGAAATATTTCACAGCCTCGTGAAATTTTTTGAAATATTTCACTGCCTCGTGAAATTTCTTGAAATATTTCACAGCCTCGTGAAATTTCTTGAAATATTTCACAGCCTTGTGAAATTTCTTGAAATATTTCACAGCCTTTTGAAATTTCTTGAAGTAGTTCGCAGCCTCGTGAAATTTCATGAAATATTTCACAGCCTCGTGACATTTCGTGACATATTTCGCTGAAATTTCCAATCTATCATTTCTTTCTCACGTTTCATGCCACCCTGGTTTGAAGCATTGCATTACATGGAATATAAATATTATTTCAGGACACTGGAGCTCCGTCGATTATCAGCGTTGCCCGACTGGGCAGGCCCAACCCGTCTCGGTGTCGCCCTCCCTCGGAGCCGCTGAAGGATGCCCGCGACGAAGCTCGCCGCCTCGGTGCCCGACTCCCGGCCGGAGAAGACGAGAGCCAGAACCAAAACCAAGGCCTTGGACAGGGAAACCTTCAAGTAGTCCCCGATGGGCGCCCTCTCCGACATGAGCCTCAATCCCAACAGCTTCATGCTCGACGCCCCCGGACCGGCCCCCTGGGCGGGGCCCACCGCCGCAGCCGCCCTCCGCAACCTCTCCGCCGCCAACCTCAACGTCACTAGCAATTTTACCTCAGGTAACATTATATACATATCCCAACGTGGCAACTGGAAGGAAGTTACATTTAGCTCGACCTGGAATTTTGTTTCTTTCGCCAAGTGACCCACCACCAGGGTGGGTGGGTTGGTGGTGGTGACACCAAGTGACCAAGTGTCATATTTCAAGTTGAAGAAAGAGAATTCCCGGGTCGAACTGTTCGGCGTGTTTGAGAAAAAAGTGTCATGTATGAATCTCATCAGAAAAATCTGAACAATTGATTTCTCAAATATTTGACGCATAAATTTTGACTTATATTCGAGATATTTTCGATGAAAAATGAACCCCGTATTATCCTCTATAAGAGCCTCAGAAAAAGGGCACCAGGCGGATCAGCCAAGGAGAGACGACTCGTAAAATTAGAGGGTGCCACTCGGCCCGCAATTCAAATTGCTGCTCCTGTATTTTCTATGGTTGGTTTCCACGCACGTGGGTTGTTGCACGACTAAAATTTGCGCTATCATGCATTTTTGCGTTTTCGGTAATTTGCGCATTTAGTTAAAATCTCCGCTTTTCGGAGCGCAACGGTGCGGCGCTCAGTGGATCGAGTCAACCAGAAAGGTCGGACATGAACTTTTTGACTGAAACTGCAAATTCAGACGTTTATTTGGACGTATTTCTACCAAACAGACCTATGTGGAGGTAAGAAATATGGAGTGTGCTCGTTAGTTCTCTTTGCGTAAGAGTGAATGAGAATAATAAAGCGCCAGTGACGTCAGCGGCGACGATGGAGACTCCGATCCGCGGATCCGTGTCTTTAACTCATGAGCCCTGTTCTGTTCACAACGCTCTCTTGCCATGCCTGCTGCTCAAGAATCCCGCATTCAGTTGGCACATAGGTCTGTTTCATAGAATGTAATATCCCGCAATTTCCAATTCTTCAAAAGGAATCACGCCCACTTTTACATTGCTTCTTATCCAGCTTCGACGAGCACACCCTATATTTCTCACCTCCACATAGGTCTGTTTGGTAGAAATACGTCCATTTCATCAGATTTTAAATATTAGTGTATCTAGAAAAATATTTGACGAGGAAATCAATGGAACCGCTTTTAAAACTTCAAAGTTTTGTATGAACGGGGTAATGAGCTTTTAAAGTTTCAACATTTTCTTCCACTTTTCCCATTGACTTGTTCCATTCTGCGGTGGTGGAGCTTTGTTACTCTATATAATCTGTAAAATCGAACAATAACTGGAGGATACTCAGGGGTGTTTTCGGTGGTGTGTTTCAGACGAGTTTTGGATGGACCCGGAGGACGTGGAGGACTGGGCGAGCGTGGTGCTGTGGGTGCTGCGGACGATGGTGATGGCGACGATCATCCTGGCGGCCATCTTCGGGAACCTCCTCGTCATCGTGAGTGTGATGCGGCACCGGAAGCTCCGGGTCATCACCAACTACTTCGTCGTGAGCCTGGCCCTCGCCGACATGCTCGTCGCCATGGTCGCCATGACCTTCAACATGAGCGTCCAGGTCACCGGCAAGTGGCTCTTCGGCGCCTTCATCTGCGACGTCTGGAACGCCCTCGACGTCTACTTCTCCACCGCCTCCATTATCCATCTCTGTTGTATCTCGGTCGATAGGTGAGCCTCAGCCCCCACCCCTTCATCACAGTCAGGGAATATCGGGAAAACCGGGGAATGTCAGGGAATCATAAAATGTCAGCGGGCTGATTATTGAAATTGATAGACAAAGCAATAGACAAAGAAGACTTAGGGAGTATGGAGCGATCTCATTGGTTGAAATGTGTGGTTCCCATCGACTGAGGGAGAGAATGATTGACTAACTATCAGGTCTCTCGTCGGTTGCCGTTAGTTAGTCTATTACGTACGTCCTTTGTCGATTGCAACCATCCGCCTCCACCAATAGGATCCCCCCATAACTCTTTTTTCATCTTTGTCTATAGCTTTATCTATCAATGTCAATAATCGGCTCGCAGGGAAACATTGTTACCCCTTTGTCACAGTCAGAAAATACCGGGAAAACCGGGGAATCTCAGGGAATAATAAATTGTCAGGGAAACATTGTTACCCCTTCGTCACAGTCAGAGAATACCGGGAAACTGGAGAATATCAGGAAATCATGAAATTTAAGGAAAAATTGTTAGGCCAACTTCATTTGCTTCCTAGAATAAGCTAGACATTTCGAAAAACAAATTTTGCCTGAAAACTTTTCCTGATAATGTCATGGAATAATAGAATTTCAGGGAAACATTGTTACCCCTTCGTCACAGTCAGAGAATACCGAGAAAACCGGAAAATATCAGGGAATCATAATATGTCAAGGAAAAATGAGTACCCCTTCGTCACAGTCAGGGAATACCGGGAAAACCGGAAAATATCAGGTAATCATAAAATGTCAGGGAAAAATGGTTACCCCTTCGTCACAGTCAGGGAATACCGGGAGAACCGGAAAATATCAGGGAATCATAAAATGTCAAGGAAAAATGGTTACCCCTTCGTCACAGTCAGGGAATACCGGGAAAACTGGTAAATATTAGGGAATCATAAAATGTCAGGGAAACATTGTTACCCCTTCGTCATAGTCAGAGAATACCGGGAAAACCAGAAAATATCAGGGAATCATAAAATGTCGGGGGAAAATGGTTACCCCTTCGTCATAGTCAGAGAATACCGGGAAAACCGGAAAATATCAGGGAATCATAAAATGTCAGGGAAACATTGTTACCCCTTCGTCACAGTCAGAGAATACCGAGAAAACCGGAAAATATCAGGGAATCATAAAATGTCAGGGAAAATGGTTAACCCTTCGTTATAGTCAGGGAATACCGGGATAATCGGAAAATATCAGGGAATCATAAAATGTCAGGGAAAATGGTTAACCCTTCGTTATAGTCAGGGAATACCGGGAAAACCGGAAAATATCAGGGAATCATAAAATGTCGGGAGAAAATGGTTACCCCTTCGTCATAGTCAGAGAATACCGGGAAAACCGGAAAATATCAGGGAATCATAAAATGTCAGGGAAACATTGTTACCCCTTCGTCACAGTCAGAGAATACCGAGAAAACCGGAAAATATCAGGGAATCATAATATGTCAAGGAAAAATGAGTACCCCTTCGTCACAGTCAGGGAATACCGGGAAAACCGGAAAATATCAGGGAATCATAAAATGTCAGGGAAAATGGTTAACCCTTCGTTATAGTCAGGGAATACCGGGAAAACCGGAAAATATCAGGGAGTCATAAAATGTCAGGGGAAAATGGTTACCCCTTCGTCATAGTCAGGGAATATGGGGAAAACCGGAAAATATCAGGGAGTCATGAAATTTTATAGAAAAATTGTTAAGTCAACTTCATTTGCTGCCTAGAGTGGGCTAGATATTTCGAACAACAAATTTTACCCGAAAACTATTTCTGATAATGTCTTGAAAACCATCCGGTGCATCTTCAGTTGACAGGGAATTTTACCAGATTGTGCCAGGAAAATCAGAGAAATGTCAGGGAATTTCATTTTCAGTGACCCATACGCTAGTTTCAGTTCTCTTCTCTATAGAGGACGATACTGAAAATAATCATCCCTAGATTTCTACCTCATACTTCAACAAGTACCAATTATAATCATTGAATTGCAGGTACTACGCCATTGTAAAGCCACTCAAGTACCCGATCAAGATGACGAAACGGAAAGTGGCCATCATGCTCTTGCTGACGTGGATCTCGCCGGCCATTATCTCGTTCGTTCCTATTTTCTGTGGTTGGTATACGACAGAAGAGCACAAGCACTACCGCAACAACCACCCCGATGAATGTCAATTTGAGGTGGGTACGCATTGCCTACACTGAAAAAAAAGGTAGATTTTACCATACTCGGACCCAGTGATACGAGTATGGTGATAAACAACAGACTCTATGGTATAGAATTTACTATATTATATTAAGTGCTACCACCGTTCTGGTGAATACTACTATAATTCTGGTTATTTTCAATAAACAGTATCACCGTGTAAAAAATCAAGTAGACTTATGGTCGATGTTACTTTATCTTTTTTGTAAAGTATGAAAAATCCAATCACACATGGTCAGAACATACGCATCCATTGGCATGTATCTCATCAAAAATTTACAAGCAGCATAGTATAGAAGTATCACTGGGCAAAGTGTAAAATTACGTAACAACGCTCGCGAAGTTACGCGTCATACTTTACTTTTTCTTTTGAAAATTAGTTGACGTGGTATGTTTGAAACTTCCTTGATTTTTCTTCTTTATAAAGAGACTATTATTTGTGCATTTCCATTGTTTTTCTCTGCAAAAAAATAAAATAGTGGCGGAAATTTTGGAATACCGCAGTGCAGATGCGTGATTTTTAATAACTGCAGATGACTTCTGACTGAGCGTTTATCATTTACGTCTAGTAAGGTATCATTCACGTAAAATTTGATTTTCATTTTCCGCTCAAAATAGACTCGTATTTATTTTTCGTCTTGTCTGTTGTTGCAGGTCAACAAATTATACGCCCTCATTTCATCATCGATATCCTTTTGGATCCCTTGTACAATCATGATTTTTACCTACTTAGCAATTTTCAAAGAAGCCAACCGGCAAGAAAAACAAATTCACGCACGGATAGGCAATCAACTTTTACAAAACCACAATAGAGAATTATATTCAAATACTAATGGTAAGTTCTTCTCTGGAAGTAATATTTTGTGGCTTTATTATGTTGGGAATATCGTCATTGCCTGATCAGTATAACCTTTAATACTATTTTTGACTGTTGAGTTTTTTATACCTATAGTTCCAGAGGAAGAAGAAGAAGAAACTAAAAAAAAATAAAAAATACAGATTTGGGAACGTCAACATTGAGATACGTATTTTGCGAATTTCAACATTGATAAACTACAATTTATTTTTAAAATTTATAAAATCTCTAATAACGTTTAGCATGATTTTTCAACTGAATTAGAGGAAAAAGTGCCTTGATATAAGCAGAAATATGCTCAAATTTTCCGCCGAGAAGATTTCCTTATGAATCAATAAAGAAAATCATGCTTGTCTAAAGAAGAAAAGATGTTTTTATAAAAAGAAAAGTCACTTACATCAAGCAGAAACCCGCTTTCATCCTGCTATTTTATTCTCGATTCAAACAAAATCTTCTTGCCTAAATTGAGCCATTTTTTTCTCTAATGAATTTCAAAAAGTATGCTAAGCGTCATTAAATACGGATGCTAGGACTTAGTGAGTTTTTCAACTACCGCTCTCATTTTGTGCCGTAGTATCTTGATTTATTTTGCGAGGAAAGCTCCGTACTCTTATAGGACGTCTGTCATTCTTAATATGTTGGAGCGCTTTCAATTTCGTATGATACTGTGCAACACCTCTGTTGCGAAATTGTTGCTTGAAGCGCTGCCGTGGCATGCCACTCCGCGGCGGGCGAGGGCGACCAGCGCAACACGCGCATTGGCGCCTACAAACCTAACAGGGATACTTCACGCATTGCGCAATGGCGCCTACAAACCTAACTGGGATACTTAACGCATTACGCAATACGTGAAGTATCACTGTTAGGTTTGTAGGAGCCAGTGAGCGTACCGCGCCGACAGCACGCCGCTCCGTTCTGTGTTAGGCTCTAATATTTAAACCGTAGTAAGCGTTTTCTCTCATGATTTTGAATTAAGTTTGCACAGTTTGCATGGATCATTCTCAAATTGATAAAAGAAAAGAAAAAAAAAATGTATTGAAGAGAAATAGGACCACTCCTCCCCCATCTCCCACTCCACTCCCACTCCTTAGTGGGACAGAATTTCTACAGGTGTATTTCGAGTATATAACTGGTCCTAATAGGACTACATTTTTGCAGTTAGGAACTGTTCTGGCTCACTTATAAGCAACCTATGGACTATCAGTTTCCCTATGCAAATAAGTGTCTTAACGGATGCGTCAGAAATTGTAGCCCTATTGCAAAATGTAATCCAATCAACTCCTTAGAGTTTCCGTATTTTGGGGTTTTTTCCCAGATTTTTATCTACTCTAATCTAACAAAGGTGAATTGGATTCCAAAAACGAACCTAGAGCATTTAGATGTTGCTAGGGTTGAGCAACTTACATTCTTTGAAATAAAAATGCTAAAATCATGCAAAAATTAAAGTTTCAAAAGTAAATTAAAAAGCAATTTTCGTCTCTTTATAGTTTATTAGGAATAAGGATAAAACTTGTTTAGATGATCTGCTTTATATTCGCAAGGAAAAAGATTGGCACCATCTTAGAGACATTGGAATGCTCCTGGTTCTAGTCCGAGAGCCAGACGACTTTGAGTGACAAACTCGGGATACATGTTTTGACCCCCTAAATCGATAGCCTTGCATGCACTGAAACGGAAAATTTTTGTCTGCCGCCCACTAGCCTGTGCCATCACCCTCATCTAGGCCCTCAAAGTGGTCCAAAAAACACCATCTGGTGACAAACTCCTGACGC